TGGTAGAAGTGTTTCAATATTTGAGGGGCTGCCACCAAGAAAAAAAAGGCGGGGGGGGGTTGGACTAGAAGACCTCCAAGGTCCCTTTCAACTCTGTTGCCAAAGCACCAGGCAAAGCAAGGCCAGAAACAACAGATGGAAACCAGGGGTGGGATTCAACCGGTGTTACTACCAGTTAGTACATTTTGCTACTCACGCGTGTTAAAAAAAATCAGCTGTGCCACCTGGACAGCTGAAAAGCTCTGTGCGTGTGTTTGCAGTGTTTGAAAAGCCTCTTTTTTCCTGCTTTTTCAACCTCAGCTGTGCCAGAGAAAGCAGCTGAGGTTAAAAAAAAGCAGGAAATAAAGGACAGGTAAGAGCCCGGGCCAAACAATAGGAGACACAGAACCGGTTCAGTGTCTGCTGCTCTTCAGAGCTACTGGTTCTATAGAACCAGGCAGAACCAGTAGCATCCCACCCCTGATGGAAACTAATCAAGGAGAGAAGCAACCTAGAACTTAGGAGAAATTTCCTGACAATTAGAACAATTAATCAGTGGAATGACTTACCCCCAGAAGTTATGGGCGCTCCAACACTGGAGGTTTTTAAGAAGAGATTGGACAACTGTTTCTCTGAAATGGTAGAGTTTCCTGCTTGAGCAGGGGGTTGGACTAGAAGACCTCCAAGGTCCCTTTCAACTCTGTTGCCAAGAAAAGAATACAGATACGATTATCTGGTTTATATGATTTTGTGTACCCAGTGATGCTACATCAGAAGGCAGTGCTCTAACTATTAACCTTCCATGAATAGGTTATAATGATGGTATAACAAGACCAAAGGCCACCAGGACATCTAAGTTACCTCACTTAACAAAGGCACACACAATCAAAATTTAAAATGAAAAAACCGTGAACAAAGACTTAAAATTATCAAAGCAGAAACTAAATGTACCGAACGGGAAGAAATAAGGGAGCATTGACGGATCACATCATGCTGTTTTAAACCAGATTATTATATGCTCCATTATTCGGGACATGAGACCATGTAAAAAAAATGGCTAATGGACATTACTATGCAGCCAATCACAACAGAAGTATATATTTCAGACAACTATTATTCAATTGACTTTAATATCAGGAAAGTATATGCAAAGGAGGGAGGTGAGGAAATAAATTAGGTGCCTATGTCCGTATAGGAATGAAGCTGTAATTCTTTTATTTGCTAACTTGGCATGAAACGCCTGCCATCAGAATATAACAGGGAAAAACATTTGATAAAAGATAGGGATATACCGAAACCATATTTTTTTTTCTGACAATTTTTTTTTATGCCTTCGAATCATCATTGACTCTTGGCGAGTGCCTGGGAAGTCCTTGCAGTTTTCTTGACAAGATTTGCCATTGCTTCCTTCCCAGGGCTGAAAGACAATGACTGGCCCCAGGTGTCCCAACTGCTTTCATGTCTAAGCGATAGCACTTAGACTTATATACTGCTTCACAATACCTTACTGACCGCTATAGGTGGTTTATTGCCCCCAATAATCTAGGTCCTCATGTTACCAGCCTCAGAAGAACGGAAGGCTGAGTCAACCTTGAACCAGTCAGGATCAAACTGCTGGCAGTGGACAGAATTAGCCTGCAATACTACATTCTATCCACTGTACCACCATGGTTGTAAGGCAGGACTAGGACTTAAAGTGACTAAATTTTTAGGCTGGTGCTTTAACCGTTACACTAACCTTGTTCTCTAATTTGAATTTAGAAGTCAATCTTCCTTTGAACTGTTTTGTGGGGTCAGAATTCAACAGCGTCAACATTGAACCTTTCTACCTCTTTTTGACTAGCATAGAAAATTAATAACTGATTCCAGAATGTGACTTTTGGATTGTTAAAGGAAGATGTTGCCTAAAGTATCACAGCAGAATTGAATGACATTTGCAAGCAAAGATATGCCTTCTGAACATCTGCCTCTTACTAAATGAATGTCTTTGACTCTGCTCCAAATTAGGATTTGGGGAAAAAAACATCAACCAATTTGTTGTGTGTGTTTCCACTTGTGTGTGTGTGTGTTTATGTGTGGTTACATTTGTCTCGATTAGCAGCATCTCAGAGAGAATTATGCAGGAGGACAGTTGTTTGCAGCTCGTGGATTTCAACAAATCTCTTTCAAATTTCCCTCCTGTGGGAGAAAAATGACTGCAACAATTTGTGGATACGTTACATCTTTCCAAAATATTTGAATAGCTTTTTTAAAGAATTTCTCCAGAATCCAATTTCTGGCCAAATCCAAACTTCTGAAATTTTACTCCCTTTTCAGATCAGAGCTGGATCCCTTAGGTCAGGGGTGTCAAACTCGCATCATCACGGTGTTGTCATGCGATGTATTGTGACTTTTTCCCCTCTTCGTTAAACTGGGTGTGGGTGGGGCCGGCACGTGACGCATCTGGCCGTGGGCTGCGAGTTTGACAGCCCTGCCTTAGGTAAAGAGATGCAGCCAGCATCACTTTGTGTCAAATGCCAATCAGAGGTGGTAGTCAGCAGGTTCTGACCAGTTCTGGAGAACTGATAGTGGAAATTTTGAGTAGTTCAGAGAACCAGCAAATACCACCTCTGACTGGCCCCGCCCCCATCTATTCACTGCCTCCAGAGTCCCAGCTGATTGGCCAGGTCTTCTTTTGTTGCCCTGCACAGGAGAACGGAGCTGGAAAGTAGGTTAGTGGGGTGGGGTGGAAATGGGGATTTTGCAATATCCTTCCCCTGCCACACCCACCAAGCCACGCCCACAGAACCAGTAGTAATATTTTTTGAATCCTACCACTGGTGCCAATAGGTGGGACAGGACAATTTGTCACAGTCAACTTGCTGTGGCCAACTCTCACCACAGCCAACTCACCATGGGACAACTCACCATGGCAAACTCACTGCAGGACAAGTCACTGCAGGATAATTTAGCCATTCAATTTAAATATTTAAAATAAATATTTTTTTTTTCCTTCCTATTTTATTCTGTCCTTCTTGCACCCTTTCTTTAATGATTCTATTCTACCATTTCTTTGGTATTAGTGTTGCTGTTGCCTCACAGCAAGTTGGCCATAGCAAGTTTACTGCTGTGAATTGTCATAGACCCACCAATACATTTTAAACGGGTTGCTTTTGATGTACATCAAACCAGATTCAAAGGTATTTTGTAGCACCTTTACAAGAATGTCTTAGGATAAGAGAAATTGCAATGTCTAGCTGGTGGACATTTTATGCACCATGAATAAAATAGAATAGAACAGAACAGAACAGAACAGAACAGAATAGAATAGAATAGAATAGAACAGGGTAGGGTAGGGTAGGGTAGGGTAGAGTAGAGTAGAGTAGAGTAGAGTAGAGTAAAGTAGAGTAGAGTAGAGTAGAGTAGAGTAGAGTAGAGTAGAGTAGAGTAGAGTAGAGTAGAACAGAACAGAACAGAACAGAACAGAATAATAATGGAATAGAATAGAATAGAATAGAATAGAATAGAATAGAATAGAATAGAATAGAATAGAATAGAGTAGAGTAGAGTAGAGTAGAGTAGAGTAGAGTAGAGTAGAGTAGAGTAGAGTAGAATAGAATAGAATAGAATAGAATAGAATAGAATAGAATAGAATA